AAAGCATATCCTTGGAATGTTAAGTGTGTCTCATCTGGAATGTGAGATTGACTGGCAGCCTTCACAAATTACATGCACAGAATTAAATGGCCAACTCCATATTATCAACCTGTGTGTTCTGCATCTTTGGCTTTATAATCTACAGTGATGTTTTAGAGAGATTGCTTCCCTGTAATTACTTGGCTTTCAGTCATTTTAAATTGTTCCAAAGCTAGTGAGCATGTATAGTAGATGTCCCTCTAGTACCAAGATTAAAGAGATGAAGACAACTTCTGATGGTAAGTGTTCTGCTGATATTGGCACTGACCTTGCACAAAAAATCACATGCATCCAGCAGTGTGATGAATGATTCCCTAAATGGGTATAAAAGATACAAGCAAAACTTGTGACTTGTTTTCAAATGACTTTTCTGACAACTGCATTAATATTAACAATTTTTTTTTAACATTTGTAAAACATTTTGAAGAGAAGAAATGTCGTAACAAACTCAATCCCACAACATCCTGTGGGACAGTTATGTTTCCTGCCTTTATTTTACAGAGGGGAACATTGAGGCAAATATTTTAAATGTCTTGTGCAAAATCAGAATTCATGTTAGAGGCAGGGTTAAACTCAAATGTTCTTGGTTTCCAGTATTGTGACTAATTTTATGTTTATATAAGTACTTATTGCTTTCCTGTGTGCACTTGGTGTCTTCATTTTCCCCTTTCTCTTTCTGTTACGCTAAACAGTGAAGCATTATCCAGCTTAATCAAATCTTAATAATTTGGTATGATCTCCCTCCTCAAGAACAAAAGTTAAAACATTTTCAGTCTAATTATGATATTTCCTTCTGGAGGGTAATTTATAGAATCATAGGACCTGAAGAGACCTTGAGAGGGCATCTTGTCCACTCCCCTGCACTCATGGCAGAACTAAGTATTATCTAGACCATTCCTGACAGGTGTTTGACTAATCTGCTCTTAAAAATCTCCAGTGATGGAGATTCCACAACTACCTCAGGCAATTTATTCCAGTGGTTAACCACCCTGACAGTTAAGTGTTTCCTAATGCCCCACCGAAACTTCCCTTGCTGCAAGTTAAGCCCATTACTTCTTGATGTATTCTCAGAGTTTGAGAACAATTCTTCTCCCTCCTCTTCGTAACAACCTTTTATGCACTTGAAAATTGTTATCATGTCCCCTCTCAGTCTTCTCTTTTCCAGACTAAACAAACCCAATTTTTTCAATCTTCCCTCATAGGTCATGTTTTCTAGACAATTAATTATTTTTCTCGTTCCTCTCTGGACTTCGTCCAGTTTGTCCACATCTTTCCTAAAATGTGGTGCCCAGAACTGGACATGATACTCTAGTTGAGGCCTAATCAGTGCAGAGTACAGTGGAAGAAGTACTTCTCTTATCTTGCTTACAACATTTCTTCTAATACATCCCAGAATTATGTTTGCTTTTTTTTTTTGAAACAGTGTTACACTGTTCACTCATATTTAGCTTGAAAACCACTATGACCCCCAGATCCCATTCTGCAGTACTCATTCCTAGGCAGTCCATTTCCCATTTTGTGTGTGTGCAACTGACTGTTCCTTCCTAAGTGGAGTACTTTTCATTTGTCCTTATTGAGTTTCATCCTATTTACATCAGACCATTTTTCCATTTTGTCTGTCCAGATCATTTTTAATTTTAATCCTATTCTCAAAAGCACCTGCAGCTTGGTATCATCTGTAAACTTTATAAGTGTACTCTCTGTGCCATCATCTAAATCATTGATGAATATATTGAACAGAACTGGACCCAGAACTGATCCCTGCAGTTCCTAACATTTGATATGCCCTTCCAGCTAAATTGTGAACCACTGATGACTAGTCCCTGGGAATGGTTTTCCAACCAATTATGCACCCACCTTATAGTAGCTCCATCTAGGTTGCATTTCCCTAGTTTGTTTATGAGAAGGTCATGCGAGAGAGTATCAAAAGCCTTACTAAAGTCAAGATATACCTCATCTACCACTTTCCTCCTGTCCACAAGGCTTGTTGCCCTGACAAAGAAAGATATCAGGTTGGTTTGACATGATTTGTCCTTGACAAATCCATGCTGTTGCTTATCACTTTATTATCTTCTACGTGTTTGCAAATTGATTGCTTAATTATTTGCTCCATTTTTTCCAGGTAAAGAAGTTAAGCTGACTGATCTGTTATTCCCTAGGTTTTCCTTATTTTCCTTTTTATAGATTGGCACTATATTTTCCCTTTTCCAGTCTTCTGAAATCTATGTTGTCTTTCATGACTTTTCAAAGGTAATTACTAATGGCTCAGATATCTCCTCAGTCAGCTCCTTGAGTATTCTAGGATGTATTTCATCAAGCCTTGGTGACTTGAAGACATCTAACTTGTCTAAGTAATTTTTAACTTTTTCTTTCCCTATTTTAGCCTATGATCCTACCTCATTTTCACTGGCATTCACTATATTAGACATCCAATTGCTACTAAATGTTTTGATGGAAACAGAAACAAAGGAGTCAATAAGCACCTCTGCCATTTCCCACATTTTCTGTTATTGTTTTGCCCCCCCTCTTTGAGTAATGGGACTACCCTGTTCTTGGTCTTCCTCTTGCCTCTAATATATTTGTAGAATGTTTTCTTGTCACCCTTCATGTCTCTAGCTAGTTTAATCTCATTTTGTGCGTTGGCCTTTCAAATGTTGTCCCTACATACTTGTATTACTTGTTTATACTCATCCTTTGTAATTTGACTTAGTTTCCACTTTTTGTAGAACTGTTTCTTTGAGTTTCAGATCATTGAATCATTGAAGATCTCCTGGTTAGATCAGGGTGGTCTCTTGCCATACTTCCTAACATTTCTATTCAGTGGGATAGTTTGCTCTTGTGCCCTTAATAATGTCTCTTTGAAAAACTGCCAACTCTTTTGAACTGTTTTGCCCCTTAGGCTTGCTTCCCTTGGGATCTTACCTAACCACTCCCTGAGTTTGCTAATGTGTACCATCTTAAAATCCATTTGCTTTATAGTGTTGTTTTCTCTCCTACCATTCCTTAGAATCATGAACTCTACCATTTCATGATTACTTTCACCTAAGATGCCTTCCACTTTCAAATTCTCAACCAGTTCCTCCCTATGTGTCAAAATCAAACCTAGAACAGCCTCTCCCCTAGTTTCTTTCTCCAGCTGCTGGGAATTGGCGACGGGATGGATCACTTGATGGTTACCTATTCTGTTCATTCCCTCTGGGGCACCTGGCATTGACCACTGTCAGAAGACAGGATGCTGGGCTAGATAGACCTTTGATCTGACCCAGTATGGCCGTTCTTATGATTTTGTTAGTTTTAAAAAAAAGCCTCATCCACCTCTTTTTCTTGGTTAGTTGGTCTGTAGTAGCACCCATTTTATCCTTATCCAGAGACTTTCAACAAGATCGTCTCCTATTTCCATCTCAACCTCAGTCCAAGTGTATATATTTTTAATATATAAGGCAACACCTCCTCTCTTTTATTCCTGCCTGTCCTTCCTGAGCAATCTATACCAGTATTCCAGTCATGCATAGAATTCCACCAAGTCAGATGCCAACTATGCCATAGTTGTGTTTATTAACTAGCATTTCAAGTTCTTCCTGCTTTCCCCCCTTACTTCTCACATTAATATACATACATCAAAGATACTGATTTGATTTCCCCCCTATGTTGAACTACATGATGAACTTCTTCTGGGTCTCATTGACAGAGATACATTTTTAGCATTTTGATATGTGTCGCTGTGTTCATTGAGTAGTGAATACCATTTTCAACTTCTTGTCAGGGTGCTAGATATTTTTGACTTCTTACTGTAACTTACTCCTTTGCATGATCATTGGACATTGCCATTAATTGAACAGCCAAATAATAAACGTGTGACGGAAGGTTGTCTTGTGTAAATAAGTGAAACCAATGAAGTTACACAGAAGTAACCTGTAAGAATATGGCCTTTTCTATATCATGAATAAAGTGGGGTTTGTTAACCAAGCAGGCTGCATAGTGCTTCAATGGAAGCTTTGATAAAAGGGAAATTTCTTAAATTTCTTGCTGCCACCAGGTCTGGGAATGTGTACACCCTTTGAAGAGCTGGCATTGGATGTAGGAGAACCCAGGCAGTGTCTCCCCTCCCACCAATCATGTGGGCTGCAGGAAGGAGCCAGCCACAGATTCCACCTGGTAGGATCAGAAGCAGCCAAAGCTTTCCAGACAAAACAGAATGTTGTCTAACTTTCTCTGCCCTGTACTGATTTGATTAGCTCTTTGCTCCAGCCCTCCTCTCCCTCTTCACAGTCTCTTCACTTCAGCATCACTCCACACATGCCCTGTCTATTCTCACCTCTCCTAACCTGTCCTCAGTCCCTTCCCCTTCTTTTTCTTTCTATTTAGTTGATTCCCTCCTAAGAGGCTCCCACCTCCAAAAAAAATTGAACTAACATGATATTTGCCACCATCACATTGTTCACGCTTCCTATTTAGACAATGTCTTTCCATTTAGACAATATTGTCTCATTGTTCCTTGTAATTCCCCGTCTCTCTGTCTGCCATCTGTTTTCTCTTGTCTTATACTTAGATTGTAAGTCCTTGGAGGCTGGCAATGCCTTTTTCTTTTGTTTTTACATCACTTAACACAGTGGTATCCTGTTCCATGACTCAGACTCCTAGGTGCTGTGGCCATACAAATAATAATAATATATCACCTACAAAATTTTAGTCATACAAGTATTCACAAATGGCAAATAGAAATTCAAAGAGGACAAATCAAACTACAGTTGTGAATTTTAGACACTATTTGAACAAGTTTTTTGCTTTCCAACCAATTGTATTAACCATTTCTCATAAAGGTCTGGTTAGGGACACCAATAGTTAATGAGGTTTGTGATGTGAATATGTAATTCCTTGAGTGAAGGTGAAGCATCTCACCTGGGAATGCTCACCCCTGGCCCTCCATCAGTGAGGCATTAACAAAGTCAAACAGCCAAGGATCTAGTAATTCCCTGTTTTATTTCACTATCAATCATTAAAGCCCTGGGCCTAACTCCAGGTATTAACATTAAGCTTCTTCAGTATATTTAGAACTTGATTAAGCAAAATTGCTTGCAATGCTAAATGAAATGGTGCCACTTCTAACCCAATCATAGATAGATATGTCTTCAGATGTGACAGTCCCATATATGGAAACATCTTCACATTGAGATCTTACATCCATTTCTAGATTATGATATCTGCCACCTGCCTTTATAGAAAAGTCCTGCTGAAATTAATATAAAGTGATACCCTTCCTAGAGGATGGTTCCAACAAAAAGCCCTATGCATTTAAATAGAGAGTTATATTTCTGCTTTGGAATTCTATAGGATGGCTTAATCAAGTGTGTAATTTTCTACTGATTTTTGTTGTCTAATTATTTTGTTACAATTATGTGTAAAGTTTCCATAGAACCTATTGACTTCATTCCCATTAAATGCTATAGGTCATTGTCAGCCAGGAAATGCTTTCACCATTATATCATGCAAAAGTTCTTTCAGCTTCCATAACAGCAACAACATAGAATTATAGACACTTGATATTTCAGTGGGTTCTAGTTGCCTCAGACAGGCAGGCTTCTGAACACAAAATTTTCCATCTTTGCTATAAATGTCTCCATCTGTTTCACATGTTATGGGTCATCTTGGTAAGAAGGCCAAACTGTGTGAGGATGATGTACAGGGAGAGGACTTTGAGGCCTTATTTCCATCATTGTGGCCTCATCACACAATTCTACCAGATCACTGACAGGATTGTATAATCACTGGACTATTCTATCTGTAAATCTTCTGACACCATATTTGGTTCAGCAATCTTGCTGGATGAATCAGTGGAATAAATCTAGCTCCTTGCAGGAATTAAGGTAAGGCCTGACTTCAAGTTGGAGGTAGTGATTATTAGATCATGACAGATATAACCCCTTCTTCACTCGCAGCCAAAAAATTGTCTAAATATAAGGATGGTCATATCCACATGTACATTGAGGCTGAAACAACTCAAGACAGACTCATAGATCCAATATCAGCTCAGATTAGACCACTGGGACTTTAAGGAGTTGTATTCTCAGAAGAGGCTCAATATGTCTTCTTTCTCTGTGTTGATGGTCAATAAAATGTCAGCATCTATTACATTATATGTCTACACAGGATAGGAAATCACTGGTCCTTATCCTGTTGCCCCTGGAGGTTCCTTCAGCCCAGTAGGGAAGCAGGCAATGGATCAATGAGAGCTATTCCTCCTTGCAGTACAGCAGGCTCACATCAGAATTGCTCCTTGGGCTGCAAAGGAAGTGTTGGGAAGCAATTAGAGGAGCTATTGCCCACGACCACCATCCCTTACAGACAACTTTGAGTGAAGTACTTCAGGTTAAAAATCATAGGAGTGCTTTTTCAACTCATAATGAAATACAAATCTCATTTAAAAAGCTACCTTTGATGCCCAGGGGAACACAATTTGGACATAACTGGTATAGCGTGTGTTTCCCTCTTTTGGGGACCACCTTCCTGGTGTATGAGGGTCTGGCCAGAAGCCTTTCTCCTTAATTGTCCTTCCTATTCCTTTTGGCACCACTGTGAAGCAGTCTTAACACTTTCTCCCTTGTATTAACCTTGTGCACTCTCAGGATATACAAGCCCAAAGTATACATTAAAGATTGAGGGCTGTGTTATGATTTTGACAGAAAAAGAAACTTTCTTGTTTTTATAATCTTTGACTAAAGTATTATTTCCAAACAGGTGTTCTGTTAGTATTTCCACGTGACCATATGCTCTAAAGTGTTAAACAGATTATTGCAATTAAACTTAGTGCTCCATTTAAGTACAATAAAACACCTCAAATAAATGCTTTTATACTCCATGGCTTTTAACAATAATCTTAGCCTCAACAATGTTTCCTCATATAATTCCCAAAGATGTGATTAATGGTTTGTGACAGAAGCCACACTTCATAGTAGATACTAGACCTTTAGTAGAATGTGAACAATTAATACACTATTCATATTTAGCTCAAATCCATTATTGGCACAGTTGTGATACATGTGGTGATGAAAATAAAATATGTTGTTACAATCAAAAGCATGAAGAAGGAATTTAAACTGATGCAATATTCCAGGCAATTCTAGTTTATGCAGACAGCTCAATGTTGGTTTTACTCAAACAACATTTTTAGAGGTTGTAATATATGCAAAATAAGCACCATGTATAACTTGACTGAGTAACAAGCCGCACTGATCTGTTTAAGATTGTTGATAAGAGCACTAGTAGCTATTGCACCATAATATCTGTCAGAGCAAAGAATGTTATGCTTTGTATATCATGTTTCTTGTGGGATCACACCACTATTCCTTTATTATTGATCTTAATATGAATTAGTTTTTTGATCTCTATACCAGTTCATTTCATAATTCCATTTGTATTTTATTCCCTGGTGTGTCATATAATTTAATCCAGAATATAAAAGTATTAGAATTAAAGTGTATTACTATCTATTGTACTGTGTAGTACTATATATAACAGTTATCCATTTGGTGTAATATTCCCTGGATTCTGTATAAACTGTTGCCAAAGCTGTGTAACAAAATATCCAAATAATAAAATACGGTAATGAATGTGGCATTTATTTTAGTTCACCTACAAAGTACATCCTCCACTGTTTGGAATATCTGTAGAATTAATTTGTGTAATTTACATTCATATGATTCAATCTATATTGATATGTTACATGGTATATACCAGGTTAATGGTTCTTGAGCATCTTATCTTTAATGGTGGTCAAAATTGTAAAGCATTAATTTGACCAGTATTATGGGTAATTTGCTGGGGACACATTAGTTTACTAAGTGAAATCCTATCATATCCCATGTAGAAATAATTCATTTGAATAGGACTTTAACAACATAATTCTGTATCCAATATGGGAAAGTAATGGATGTCTAATTTAGCAGATAAAAAATGAATGCACGCCGATGTACATTTTTCAGTAGTACTCTGGGTACAGTTTGGAGGAGAGGGGTTAGTTGCTGGTAACACAGTTATGTTACTTTTAGTGTACAAGTTTAATAAAATGTAGACTGTTACAAAGTTTAATGTGTAATAAAAATAAATTATTCCTCCACTAAGATTGAACAGAATCTGCAAATTACAAAAGATAATTATGTTCTCCAATTGTAACTGATTCCAAATCATAAGAAAACCTGTATATGAAGTATTCACATAGTAAACTGCTAACCTGTGCCAGAAGTCTCTCCTGAATTAATGGTTTAACTTAAAGTTCTACTGTCCCTCTTTCCACCAGATTCTAAAGTTCCATATACCATATTAGCTAGTATATCTTATATTTTACTTTCACCAGGTACATGTTCTTCACGGGCTTTTAGCTGTGTGGTTTTCATTGAGGCTCATGATGGCAAGTGGGGTGGGGGGTCTTACTAAATGCTGTTATGCTCTCCCGTACGCTCTACCCTGTAAATGTTCTGTGAATAGTTTGACACAGTGTTACTATACCAGAACATAGAAACTAGTAAATTATAAATATTGTGGCATCTTCCCATAATAAATTCCCTACCATCTGCTTAGTTGGAAAGGCTCTCAGTAACTTATGGTAAGAGAATTTCAGAAAATGTGAAACTTTTCTGGTAAACATAGTCATTATTACTAAAGAAGTTAGGCTGCTATAAGATTTATTGGATGGGTGCAGAGTTTAAATTTAATTTTCTTTTGGCATATTCTCACAAAGTAATTGCATGCGTATCTGTATTCTTAGTTGCAAAGGTTATGGTCAGTTCCTCATCTGACTCATTTAATCGGTTTTATTTTGGGAGCCATGTCCCTGTGCTGTATCCGATGTTAAAATATCAGTTCAAATGGGAATAGTCATGTGTCAGTTAAAAATTCAATCTGTTGGGTACTTGAGCTTGCAATCTTAGTATTTGCTTTCTAAAAGCATCTGTGTGTGTAAACCTTAATTTCACAAAAGTTCATTGGAAGTGAACACAAGTCAGAAATTAATTTTTGAAGTTTGACATTTTTTTGAAAACATTTTGCATGATTTATGCAGCTCAGACCTTATGACTAATCTTTTTAATTGAAATATGAAGTTGGTATATCTGGGCATTTCTCCATTATGATCACCAATGGCCTTTTAAACTAACATTTCTGAAAGGAAGATAAAGGGTGAGATCCAGAAATAATTATGCACTTCTTAGACAACTGAGTTATGCAGATATCTGCAGTGCATTACATCTTCAAAGTGTTTTAGTAATACTAACTACACTGTGTATGCTGTCTGTTTGACCATTTGTGTATAATTGTAGCAGCTGCAACTAATCAGGATACAGTTATTTACATGCATGATTAGTTTGGTTAAAATCTTTCCAAACCTTATTATTCTTGAATGCTGAAAAGTTCAATTTTCCTGATTAATCACATGATTTCTTGCTCAATGATAAACCAAGATTTCTCTCTTCACTATACATTATTGAACTAATTCCTGGTCCTGGAAAATAGTCTCAGAAGGTTTTCTGTTGTATCACTGCTCGCAACTGGGTTCATCCTTTACTACAAATCCTCTTGGACTCCTTGAATCAGATTTAGTTCCTCTCCTCTAGCTGAGCTTTCCATCTACTTATGTCTGCAAGAGAATACTCCCAACATTACAATTGCATTATCTATGGGCTTGTCTATACAAGACGGCTATGTGCACTGAAGGGGCGGTGTGAATTCTAAAGTACACCCTGATGGCACACACTCACTAGTGCGTGTTAATGTAATACTAAACAGTACTAAACTATTAGTTACTGCTAATGGGGTACTTAACTGCACAATGTTATGTTAACATGCACTAGGGAACTTCTAATGTGTGCCAGCAAGGCCTACGTGGATCTGTTAGTGTGCAACCTGGTGCACTTTAGAATTCACATCCCTCTAGTGTTCATTGCTACATCATGTAGAGGAGCCCTAAGTCTCATATAATAAGGACTTTATGAAGGTGTTCCTGAGACATCCCTTAACGCACTAGTTCTTAGCCTTGGATCTCATTAGTTTCTCCTCTTTTTTGAAGACAGAACAAACCTCAAACTCTTCTCTGTGGACAGCCCACTACACTTAAATCTACCAAACCATTTCAATTTCAGCTCCCCGAGCTCTATTTTTGACTGACAGGGTCTTCAATTACTTGAAGCTAGCCAGGCATTTTTGCTTCATTCCCCAGCTGCTGCTTTTGGCAGAACTTGTTATTGTAGTATTTCACTCACTACCCTTCTGGCTAGTATCCTCCTTACTGCTGGTGTCAACTGGGCCTTAGCTTCTCCTGAACTCAATGATAAGAGCACAGATAGAATACACTCTGCAGTAGTTCCCACAGTAGGACTTAACACTGTCTAATTATGCTTGTACATCTAAGTAAAACAATAGTGATACATATACTATGATGGTGTTGGATACAATAAAGATGTCATTCTCATTTGAATATGCATAACTACTTCACTCACAAGTGAAGAGAGTCCAGAGTAACCTATGTTGGTCTATTTTGCAACAATTGTTGGGTAAAAAATATACCCAACAATGAATAGACCTGAGAAAATTGTGTTCTGCTCACAGACAGCTTCAATTCAATGAGGCAAAATTCATAAATACATTATTACTTATTTAACCAAGTCTTGTATTTGTAGAGAACTCAAATGTCACTATAACACTTACCAACACATCCTATGTCCTTTCATAGCTGTGCAGTAAGGGGTCTTCAAAAATTTAGTGTGAAAAATTTTCAGTCATCACTGAAGATAATAACAATAATTGAACTTGATAAAATTACTGCAATGCTTTCATACTGCAATGCTAAATCATCAACCTACCTCATTATCATTTTTTCTTTTATTGGCTATATAAAATAACACCTAATCCAATTATGCGTACAACATGCTACTGCATGTTTAAAGCAATGATTAGAAAATTATATAGTAACAGTGAAGATGATAGCTGAAATAATAATAAAATCTTAAAAAACCTTGGTCAAATAAAATAAGCAGATCTTATTTAACGCCAACATCTTCAGAAACGGGTGCCTAAATTTGAGACCGTAAGTCACTGTTAAAGTAATAGTAGGCATGAGAGATCCAATACCTGCAGGTTTCCCTGAAGGATATTTTTTAACTTATTGATGTAAAGAAATTTTCTATTAATGTTTTTGAGTAGACAGTCGGTTTTGTTTTCTCACTTGAAGGTTGTTTATAAAGAAAATATGGGCATATTTGAACTCTTCTATGTCGTAACAGACCTGATTA